CGGATTATCAGGCATGAGTTATAAACAATCTCTGTTGGCCGAACTCATTACAACACTCTAATTTACCTCTCCTTGCCATAGGATTACACCATTTTGAGCTTCTGTTTTTATCTCAAGTGACATATAGTCAGGTGTTGTCGATCTGTAAAAAAATGGACGCATGCATGCTCAAAGCCGTAAACATTGCACTGTGGATTATAAGGTATTTCGGCTATAAAATACCAGGATGGAAATAACTTGGGCGCTCATTTTCTATTATGACAGTCGTAAAACTCTCCTGATGCTGAGAAATGTTGTCCCAGAAGATTCACTAAACACCAAATGGCAAGGGAAATGAAGTCACCGCGACCAGGGAATATCGTCTGACCATTGTAAAGTAGAAGCATATTGCCTGATTTAAGTGCGAGGAATCTGATGGAGAACTTTGGTTGCAGTACTGCACCTTCGATTCCTGGTAATGACATGTATGAGTCGCCCTCGAACATGGGAGTGTCTATTGGCCTTCCTACAGAGATAAATACGGTAATCAGTTTCCTTTTTAGAGCACCAAATGACGTAAAAAAAACAAAAAAACACCAGAAGTTCAAGAGACGTTACTTTAACTAAGTACTCTTCACTTGATTTCTATCATACACCTCACCCTGTGGCTGCTCAAGTGACAGAGGCGTTTTATTGCAACATTCTTCGGTCTGGTATTTCAAGTAGCGGCGACTATAACCAGACCTTCAGGTAATTGGGGGCGCTGCTTATTCAAACCCTTCAAATAGGGAGGGGGGCACTATCGAAAATGACCTTACAATGAGGCGCTGGCAAGCTATTATCCCCGAGCTCCCTCCTCCCTCGATCCAGCACTTTTGACATATAAATCACTGGGAGAAAAAATGAATTTGCACCAACATGGTCCTTGCAAATATATAGCAAATTTGTAAAAACTGGAGGCCAAAATATGGGGCAAGGATGGTAAATGTCATTTGCATACCAAAAAACAGGGGACTGTGTGTGTGTGGGGGGGGGAATCCATTTTCTCGTCCAGTGAATCAAACAATAAATTACGGTCTTTCGCCCATACCAACTGATGCAAACCAGTTAAAAAGTATTTGATGCATCCTATTCAAACAGGAAAAAAATTGGAATTATACCAAAGCTCATGTTTTGACATCAGATCGTAAAGGACTCAGGGGCCTTTGGTCAACAACAAACCTTCCTCACACCTCTCCCCAGAGTAACCAGCAGGACAGATGCATCTAAAACCATCATTGCCGATATTTTCACAACGCCCCTCATTGCAAACGCCAGGTGAACACTTGTTACCAGCGTCATCACAGGTCCTTCCCGAGTAACCAGGCCTGCAAGTACAAATAAATCCCCAGTCTCCAGCGACCTCTGTGCACGTGCCGCCGTTCTTGCAAGGCCTTGTTTGACAGACTTCACAATCATCCAAACCCACGCTTTTAATAGGGTCACCTGAAATTTTTTTCAAGAGGTATTCAAAGGGTTATGTCACGCTATTTTCTATTTTTTAAAAACCTATTAAGTGTCTGCGTATCAATTGAATTCCAAAAATAGTTTTCCCTTTTTTTTTCACAAATCATGTAACAAATCATCATGGTTATCGTTCCCTGGTGGAATTTCTTTGAAACCTTCTTCATTATTTTACAGAAGCATTTTGTGTATAGGTCAAGACCCTAAGTAATGACTTCACCACAGAGTTGACATAAAACAATAATATCCTTGTGACAAAATCCATCTAAGTATTGTGTTTTGGCAAGAGAAGGAAGAAGATAAAATCTAATTATAAAATTAGGTAATTAAGCTGCACCGAAAGGCTACAAAAATAGCTTCCTCGTGAAAAAGGCCATTTTCTTATTCAAGTTAGTCAATACTGCCCTTGACAAGCGCATACACGTTCAATAAGAGCTGGCTCCTTTAGAAGTCGAAGAAACAGAAAGAAACATGCTCATGTTCTCTAGACATGACTCAATCTACTAATGTCAATTAGACCATGGTGAATTATTTCCACTTTTGGAACGCGTTTGTAAATGTTATGCATAAAAAAGTTAGCGTATAGACAGTTCAAAGAGTTCAAATAAAAGGGTTAGTTTCCAGAACTTTAGTGTTGCGTCGGTAACAGAAAGAAATGGTGGTTTTGGTCCAATCAGTTGCTAAAGACAATTTACCTCCAGAACAGAAACCAAAAGCAGACTTTCAAGATGTGTTCATCAACTCAGCTGGTAAAACCGAATTGAAGAATTTGTATGAATTGTTTTCCCCTTGTCAAGAAAGCACCCTTACTCTCCCCCTCGGACACTGTTCGTTTCTTCGACTCCTGTACAAAATTCAAATCAGGGGCACCCAATGGATCTGTTCCCCAAAAAATCTGTTCCTCAAGCCAAGTTTTGCTGGCTCGGAAATTTGGAAAAATTAATATGTCCTTGGAAGGAAAGTGTTGCTGGGAAATACACAATTCAGGGTGTCAGAGGGGATTTGGTGTATACAATAGCTTGTATATTCTATTTGTTTATCTCTCCTTCTCTCCTTCCCTCATTGAAGGGGTGAATGTCTCATAGGCCACTCCCAATTGCCTATGGACGTCAGGTTGCAGGTTTTAGGTGCACTTTGCTGCCTGGGAACTCTCCCATCAGTCTTACTGGGAGTGAGGAACAGATAAATTTTTTTTCAAGCGATCTCCCAAAATGCTTAAAATGGCTTCAGAAAGCTTTATTTATGCTTTGTTGTTGTTTTTACGTCTTTTTCTCAAATTCCCCGTTGGGTGCCTCTGTCAAATCTCCTCGAAAACTAGTTTCCCGAAATTTGAACTTTGAAAACCTTTATCCAACTACCATTCGTTTTGTACCTACGAGAATTTCTCAAAATAAAAAAAAGGAGACAATACATGTACCTGTTTTTCTGTTTTCAGGTCCCTATTTTAGATACCAACCATTTTTGTAATGGAATGTAAAAGAAACAATTATATTCTTACCAAAATTTACAACTTTTCCGTCGATAGCCAAGTAGCTTAAACAGCCAATAAATCCTGACTTGAATCCCGCCAAAGAGCTTATTGATGAGAAGTCAAGGACTCTTCCCACGTGCAAATCCTGATTCAAATTCAGACCTGTACTACTCCCCTTAGAAATTCCTGTTACAGGTGGCTCCCCATCTACGGTGAGATTTCCTTCTTTCCTGTTTCGTGATAAGACGACTCTGTGCCACTCATACAGGCTCAATGGTTGCCGGCTTCGAATGATTGCAGGCTCAAAGCCAAGGTTGAATCTAAATACGGATAAGTTCTCTTCAGTTTTTACCTTGGTTCATATTTAATTTAGTTTGTTTTAGACTCTTTTCTTATGTTACCATAAGGATAAAACTGGATTATAACATGTGCATCACAGTTAGGTTAAGATCAAGACGACATGCACAGCCACTACAACGTGGATATAGCCCATTTCGAAAAAAAAAAGCATCGTAATACTCTCTAATCTGCCGGCTCAGCTTCACCAAGGAGGAGATATTCAAGTGTACTTTGTTAGACTGGGACAATGGAGCCCGGAGTATATGTGGAAAGCTTGCGCTGAAGCGGAGTCTTTTTTCTTCAATCCGTGCTCACGGAAAATGGCTACACGTTTATATTACACTTGTAAAAATTGACCATGAGATTGTTAGTCCAACCAACATACAATCTACATGTAAACTACAGCATCTTATAGTGGTGTGTTCCTGCTAAGTATAAGAAGAGATATACAGAAGGTAGAGATACAAATGGTTGGTGACCATTACTAAGTTTATGGTTAGAGTAAATATCATAACAAAGGTGTCTTCTTGTCATTGACGCGAAGTGTGCTTAGCAGAAACTCCCCAGTCTAACCCTCATCATGACCGCAAGAACATTCGTAGCTTTTCGCGTTGGAATTGCATCAGGAAAAATGTATAGGAGGAAAGGCACTGTAAAATGTTTGCACCAAAACTCGTCCAAATAAAGACATGAAACAAGGAGGGAGGTTAAAGTAAAATTACTTCCAAAGAGCCGACCCTTTGATACCTTACCTTTAATTTCAAAAATTCCACTTCTCTTAGCCGATCCCTCAACATTTTTGGCTTCACAATTGTAACTCCCAGCATCCTTTTGGGTCACATTGGCAATCTTCAGAACTCCTCTTTGCACTGTACTGCTGACTGGAAGCGATCCGTTAACTTTTCGCCATGTTAGGTCTGGTGACGGAGAGCCACTAGCGATGCAAGTGAATTGCACGGTCTCACCGGTTTTCACACGTGACTTCTGTGGAGTAACCATAACCTTGGGGGCCTCTAAGAGTCAATAGAGTACAGTCTTGCCACTCGAGTTAATAACACAATGTTTAATAGTAACATCGTCATAAAACTGCATGATCTTTGCCGATGGATATTAGTTATAACCGTAGGGTTGGGGTGGTTGGGTGGTAGTACCAAAAAATCCAGTCGGATAAGGTCATTTTGGTCTATGGCAGTAAGATTTAAAGCAGGCTCATGTTTCCACGCCTTCCTCACTTGGTCTGACATGAGGACACGCTATCGCCAGCTTTCGCTATTTTATCTTGTCTTATTATCGTGGCTTATCAACTCGGTTGACAAACCAGTAAACCATTCCTATTCCCCACAAATGTGGATGTCTTTGCAAATGACGGTCAAATATTTCAAGCGTTTTTTAGCTTTACTTGCATTAACTTTAATTTCTTTTGCAGACCAGTAAACGTGAAAGATAACGGCAGAAAAGAACAAACAGAAAACACTAACCTTGCACAAAGATGGCTACTTCATATTGCGCAGAGCCAACACTGTTAGTGACTTTGCACCTATATACACCACCATAGGCAAGCCACGCGCGCGGAAAAATCAGCTGTCCTCCTTTTTAAATGAGTCCCTCGGGAAAGAGACCATCGACGCGGGTCCATTGTATTTCTGGTTGTGGGGTTCCATTCGCGATGCATTCTAGAGTCAAATTCTTTCCTACTGAAACTGTTTTGACGGAGGTTCCACCTGTTACAACCACACTGGATAGATCTGAAAAGGATATGATTACATGGCTACTCATACGAATAATTTAATGATAGTGACTAGGAGTAATCGGAGCTTAGGAGAGTGCGTTCGATACATTTGCTAGGCGTACACGTAGCAGTTGAGGGCAAAGAATGGATGGTTCTTGCGATAGATAATTATGATTATGGCATGTTTTGAACGTAATGGTTGCGTACAGCGAAACCTCGATTTAAACTGTGTATGATAATGAAAAGGTTTTGAAGGCTAGTGATCAGTGTGATATCGTATGGTTCGTCTCAAGTGCTTGTTATTTGAGGAGACACTGGCCAGAGTGCTTCGGGCGTGTAAAAAGAACTTTTTGTTTTACTGGAGCAATAGATGTTTTACTGGGCGCAGTTGTTCGAAGGCCGATCAGCGCTTAACCCGGGTTTCTTCTTCTTTTGTTAAAAAAACATTTCTTTGGATAATTTTCTCAGTTATTTTTAAGAGCGTCCAATCATCAACTTGTTGGCAAAATGAAGCCGGGTCGCGAGTTCGATTCTCGCCCGGGGCATGAAAATTTCCTTTGTTCCAAGTTGAAAATGTTCACTGGAAGTGTATGTGTGCTGCTCACTAGTGTATCACTAAAATGAATAAAAATAAAAATATAATTAATTTACGCAACGCGAGTTCGTGAGAAAAAAACAAAATGGCGGGTGAAAGGTAAGTGACGCCGACTGAGTTTCTTTTTCTTTTTACGATCCGAGTTGAGACACTCGTGAAAGACACTAACGAGTGAGAGCGGCACCCCATTACCTCAGGGTCAGGATGACCGCCCCCCCCCCCCTCCCCCCTTATCTGAAGGTCTGGATCCGCCACTGCGCTGCTTCTTACGATAACAGCTGTTTAATATTTGTTGTTCTTGCTTGCACCAGTTGTTTTTAGATTTGTTCACCCTGTGAGTAGAGCCTCTTTTTGCCTTATTGAGTGAGGAGGAGAAAAAAGGCTCTGCCTGAATCGCGTCAAGCCTTTGAAGTCGCCGAAACCTGAATTTCTGGAAGTAAATGTTGATTTTTCGCCAAACCGGTTTTTGAGTGCGAACATCCGAGTGGTCATGACTGAGCCCGCTGTACCAAGTGCACGGATATTAGGCCTGGGTGTCGGCCTGGGTTTGAAGCTGTATCCTAGCATCAAGCAGCGCATGCTCAACAAAGATCTTACTCTATTCATGCAGCAGGGTTCGTACTCTTTTAAGCTCCTCAAATTCCAGGACTTTCCATGACTTTTTCCATGACCTTAGCTTTAGCTGTCACTTATTTTGAAAGCTTTTGTGTTTTAGGGTATTTCTGACCTTAAACAGTTCAACAGACACAAACTCTGGTGTCCACCAAAATGCGTGCCGTTTGCGCTGTTCAGTCACTTCGCTCTATCTTACATTGCCCTTGATTTGTCATCGGCAGTAACGAATCTACCAAACAAAATTTCAATTTTCAAGGACTTTCAAAGGCCGACAATTAAATTCCATGACTTTCCAGGCCTGGAAAATGCAATTCTTAGATGCCATGACTCCGTTCCAGGTTTTCCAATGACATGTACGAACCCTGATGCAGTCTTTCTCAAGTACGGCAAAATCGAGCAAGTGAAAGAAAGGCTCTTCTAGCAAGGTGAGACTAGTTAGGCCCTACTGACTAAAAAAATACAAACGCTATCTGTTTTTTCAGCTTACCTTAGATTTCTTAATGCTCTATCCTGATAGATTTGATTGGAACAGTATTTGACGTAAACCTCAAAGCACCGGGTAGCCTGTTATGGGATACAAATTCAGGACGAGAGACAGTTGGCTAAGAACCGCACATGAGTTTCTACAACTGATTTTGAGTGATGAGAGCGAAAAGCTGGGCACCCTTTGTTGCGTTAAAGCAGGTATAATGTGTAAGAAAAACAGATCTGATTGCAGAGCTGAGGAAAGTAAATAAAGTAAAAACCCGCGACATGATCTCTTTCACTCAAACATTATCGCCACTATTGTTAAAATAAATTTACTTAACATTTCCTTTCAATTTTAAGGGAAAATTATTATATCTATATGATCATCAACAAACCTCTGGTAATTCACACCAGAGCACTCTCATGTTTCTCAGTGTTCCTTTTTCTAGCTGTTCCAAGAAGGCTTCATCATCCGTTAGTGACTTAAAACAAGTGAAAGAAAAAGCAAAGGTTTGCAATGGCTACATGTAGAAAAAAAGAGACTGTAAGGGACATGTCAACTCAAACTGCGCTGCTCATTTACTTCATAGATGTATTCGCTATTCTGAAACTTGAAATATTGTATAATTTTTGGATCACTACAAGATTCTAGAAAACTCGCCACTTACCCCCATGCCTTGTACATAACCAACCAGTCACGGATGTAAAACTCTAGGCCAGTTTATATTTTCACTTAAAATTTGCTATATTCATTCAAGGTACATCATCCAAAGCTTTTTTCGTTCGTTTTTACTTCCTTTTAAAGAACTGAAATGAAAGCTTAACGTTGAGTCAGAGTAGATAGTAAAATGGAGAAACAAGGCACTCTTTGCTGTATATGTTACCGGTCAAATTTGATTTCAGGTTAAATTTTTTTAACCTAGGTTGATTCTCAGTTTCCTTTGTCTCCTAGCCCTAATTATTTATGAATTAGAGCTAGAAAAGAAAGGAAATTGAGAATTGACCTAGGTTAAATCAAAATTAACCTGAAATCGAATTTGACCTGTAACATATCCATGGATTGCATTTCCTCCATCATACAAATGATTCAGTCACACTTTTTGGCCTTGTTTTTTTTTCCAACATAACATGGAGACCGAAAGAGCTCTGCTGGATGATGTCCCCTAAGTCAATTAAATGTTGCAAAGACTAATTTGTCAAGAATACTAACCTTCTGCAAAAGTGTCTCTTTCTTCATCTTCATCTACAAACAAACATAAACACCTAACGGTTAAAGTGTCCTTGAAACGATAACTGTAGCCTGCAGAAGAGGAGCTTTCTTATTTTTCAGGTGAGCAAAGGTAAGCTCAAAGTAGGCACAGAGAGAGAGAGAGAGAGACACGCCCAGTGGGCCAATCACCTGTGTGTTGCGCTCCTTGCTTTCTTTCCGCTAGGCTTTGCTCGCCTGAAAAAAATGCAAACAAATGGCACCTATAGTGCAAGGCACGAAAACCGTTTTTGTGTACATTGTAGCTATAAACTTTATCATTCAATGTGCAGATCCAAAATATGAGATCTTTTGACGTAAAAGAAATGGTTTTACAAGCCCTTAAATTTGGCCCATGTTGCCGCAAAGCAAGTACATACAGTACCAGTTGTTATCATGTTCTAATAATGAATACGTTTTAACACTTTAATCAAACATTATAATGTTCAAAACTCACTCAAATTTTTTTTAAGGTTTTGGGTCATACAGTTATCAACCTTGTGAGTAAACAAACCAGACTCTCTGACACTACATGGTCATCTGATTTTGTTTTATCGCTCACACGACGACGGATGGAATTAGAATTTACTCAGCAATAAGTCATTTAATAAGAAGGCAGCGTGGCCGAGTGGTCAGTGTGTCGGACTCCCAATCCGGCGGTCCCAGGTTTGAGTCCTGCTCTGGCGAATTGCTGGAGTTGCTCTCAGTTGTCTTGAGTTCAAATCTTCGCCCACTCTTGTACATGTAAATAGCCAAGTGGCTGCCTCCTGCCAGTTGGGGTTTTTGATCCTGTTATGCTGTATTTGAATTATTATTTGCTTCTAAGTATTTGAGTGCAGTGCCTGTAAACCAGCTGGATAAGCTAAGTGCACTTTCCACAATAAACAAGCCTTTAAACCATTTTTTAAAAACCTTTTACATAACCATTGTTAACAAAATGTCTTTACCTGAAGAAAATCTCTCTTCATCTGACTTGTGGATAGGCTATGAAATATGAAAGAGTAAAAAATTAAATACCCTGTTATAATAACCATTTTAAGAGTGGTAAAGAAGGTTAAATTACTTGAATTCAAAAAATGTTCAATGTAAAACTTAAGGGTAGTCACATCATGACAGGGACTACAGCAAGGGGTAACATTACAGATGTGTTATTGAGCTGTATGTGTAACGTCAAGACAAGTCCTAATTACGTTTGGACCAAGATGAAGTTAAAGTACTCGCCTCAGTTGTTCAAAGGGTGGAAAAGCGCTATCAACTGGATAGATCTCTATCCACTGGAAAGGGCAATTAGTTTCCAGTGTTATTACACTGTAATTCCACTTTGCCAGAACAGCTTGAAAATCAGCTTTAGATGCACATCCATGTGAATTTAGCAAGAATTTGATACATTTTGTCTTACTGTGAATTCCCAAAAAACTCTACCTGCCCATGTAACTGGAACCCAATACACTTACAAGAAAATAATTTTCCACACTCACTCTCAGTGTTCACCTCTGCATAAAGATCAGCCACCTCATCATAAACATCCCCATAATTGTTTGGAGGTTCAGGAGGAGAGATGCTCTCTGGAGGAACACAGTAATCATGAGAGGAATCCGACGAGAAGGAATGTTCTGATGATGCTGAAAAATAACAAAAAATAAATGTCTTAATAACGCACACAAACAGCATCACCTGGTTGAAAAGGCTTATCAGTGCTCATCAGGAGTAGAGGTCAGTTTCGACAATACTGAACAGTAAACAGTCAACTTTCTTCTACGATCACAGGTAACCCAGGCTCACTATTTGTGTCACGTACAGGTTTCATATAACATACTCCTATGACCTACATGTGCAAGAGATAAACACTACTAAGACTGCCTATGTTTGTCTTACAGATAGTTGACTATGTAACAGAGATACTGCTGTGTTGTTTATGCACTGTTTAATCCTTAACTCTTTAAGTCCCAATGGTGACCAACATCAATATTCTCCTAACAATATCCATACATTGTTAAGAGATTAGGTTATGAGAATTAATAATATGATCAATAAAGAGAAAACACCTTGATCTTTTATCAAATTCTCTTAACTCATTCTTTAAGGAAATGTTTGGAGACCAGTTGGGAGAATTTGTATTTGGATATTGGGACTTGAAGGGTTAATTGAATGATAATTTCTAGGAAGGATGTTACTGTGAATTACCATCATTGTGGTCATCACCATCCTCTTCATCTTTTTCTTCAGTTGGTGGTTCTGTGTAATCATGATCACTGTCAGAAAACTCAGATTCATCTGTGCTCAGGTCTGTTAATGAATCAACAACAAAACACAAATTAACAGCTACTCACACCAGTTTGCACTTAACTATTTCAGCCGCGTTTGCTTACCTATTTTTAACAACTACGCTTTGCTTGTTTGTTTGTTTTTTTTACTTTCAGTTACATGTACATGTACAGTACATTATCTAGTGCAATAAAAATGAAATAAGTCACTTAGGCGCAATAGGTATCCACTGAAAAAGCATGAAACAAGCAAGAGGGTGGGATAATAGACAAGTTCTTTTTTCCCGACACTTTTCTGGCGTAAGATGAAGTCAAATTTAAAAATGAACAAGGCAAACATTCATACTTTGCCATATATATTTGTTCATTTTCTTTGTGAGAATCAGATCAGATCATACAATAATGTACATGTAACTTCCTTTTTTTCAAATCTCCTTTTTATAATATTATGGACACAGCCACATAATAAAAATAATTCTGTCAGTTATACCCCACTAGATGTCTTTTCTGTAGAATGTGCTTAAGCTATGGTTGTTTGGTATTGTATTGGTATTGTGAAGTTCTCTGCAGTGTGCAAAACTGATCATTTTAAAACTTGCAGCTGTAGCTGACTTGTAAGGAATATTTCAATTTCCAAACCTAAGTATCTTTTCAGAAACATAAGAAAGTTAGGTGTGTCTTCTAGAGCCTTACTTTTGACACAGATGCTTTTACAGTTCTTTAAACAATAAATAGATAGTGTCTAATATCTGGATCTGTCCCAATAAAACAACCACTAGTACAGCAGTGAACATGTACAGTGTAAGCTATGGTGCTTACCACACTGGAGTCCATTCAAGGTGTGTTTTCTCTTCAAGCTGCTCACAAACCCAGCCACTGCCTGTTCATCTGCTGTCTCGTATACAGCAGCAGCTGCTTTCTTTTCTTGAATGTCTTCCATAAACTCATTGACAACATTTTCATCAGGTGTTTCATAAGTACCACCTGCCTCATCTGTAGGAGCTCGGGCGGGACTGTGGGCTGATGATGCACTCTTGGGTGTACTTGTACCAATACATGCATGAATATTGAGATTGGTCTGGGCAAAAGGAAAGAGCATATGAGAGCATAGTCAAGTGAGCGCTCAGTGATGACCTGTTAATGGGCCATAATTGTTAGTTTCACTATACAATGTACAATGTATTACATGCCCTTCTTTGTTCATTTTTTGCCTCCTGTATTTTTTTCTTCTACATATAGGTTTCTTTTTCATGCTTCTGTATCACTCTACTGTAACGTACATGTATGACCTTCTAAATTATACAACCGGTCAGTGTAAAACGCAGACTGCGGACTGCAGACTGCAGACTGCGGACCAGGAGTAAAATGCAGACTGAGTGTAAAATGCAGACTGCAGACTGAGAGTAAAATGTAGGCTAGGGGTAAAATGCAGAATTAAGATCGACTGCAGACTCTTTAAACATTTGTGCTCCTTCTTCTCCACATAGGTGAATTATAGCCTTAGGGCAGGCATTTTATTGTATTGAATCATTTTTTGACTTGCCCCAACTCTTGGTCAGTCGAAAGTCCAAATCGATCGCACAGCAAAATACGCCTGCTTTGCAGGCTAGGTGATTAGCCAGCTGGTATCGGTTACACACCTTGTACACACCTTCCTTTCTTGTCGAAGTACATTGCACATTCGCCAGAAGTTTCAATGAACGTCCAAGCAGCTTATGTCCGCCTACCTTGATTTGCAATACTAATCATAGAAGGTCATCCAAATTTCCTGCAGAACATCTTTCTTTGTTGTTGGAATGTTTTACTCCTATTTTTATCGCCATAATTCTTTCTGTACAGTATTTTGGGTCAGCAGCTTTTATTTAAGCGTAAACATCGTGTTGTACCAATTCACGGTCACGTGTATCGAAAACTGGAGCTTGAGGTCTCTCGGACAATGGATATAGAAAGTAAAGTCTCTCTATTATCCATGCTCGGACGGAAAAAAAAAGGTTCAAGATTG